GGTCCCCTCCCTGGACCCCCCGGGCTGACGCTGTCCCTCCTCTTCCAGCCGCCTGGTACTCGGTGCTCGCCCTGTTGGTCGTGGTGCCGGCCCTGCTGGGGTACCTGCAGGAGACGTGCCGGGTCCGGCCCTCGGAGGCAGAGCTGGTGCGCAGGAGGTACCACAGCGTCCGCCGGGAGGACCTGTGCAGGGTGCAGCTCTCGCAGCAGGAGGCCATCGCCCAGGTCAAGAGCTTGTGAGTCTCTGGAGCCCTCCTGGCTGCGGGGCTCCCTGGGCCTCTGCAGCTGGGAAGGCTTCTCTGTGGCTGGGGGGGGGCCGGGGTCCGGGCGGGCTGGTGCCTGGGTTCGTGTCAGCCTGGCCACCGTAAAGCATGTGAGTGTGGGGGAGCCAGGGTGTGTGTTTGTGGGGCCTTTTTGTGACTGTGAGGTCTCATTTGCAGCCTGATCCAGCTGGAGGGGTTCCTGAGTGGGATGTGCTGCAGCTGTGAGGCAGCGTACCGTGTGCTGTACTGGGAGAACCCCACTGTCTCTTCGCAGTGAGTAGTACCGTGTCAGGCATCCTGCGGTGGGCTCAGCAGGGAGAGGGGCCCAGCCAGGCCTGGAGAGCTGCGTTTGATGTGTTTGGTACTTGGAGAGAGCAGGTGGAGGACCAGGTGAAGGAAGGGGGCTTGTGCCATGGTGTGAGTTGCTCTGTTTTGACCGCATTGTCCTGCTGCTCCTTCCTAGGTTTTATGGGGTGCTGCTGGGCTCTGTCTGCGTCCTTTACCTGCTTCCCCTCTGCTGGGTCCTGGCCATCCTCAACAGCACCCTCTTCCTGGGCAACACCCAGTTCTACCAAGGTAAGAGACCTCCCTGGAAGTGGGATGGGTTGGGGAAAGGCCCTCTAAAGCCAGGTATCCTGCCCTGGATCTCTCCCAGCACACTCATGTGAAGCCAAGTGTCCTGTGTCAGGCTCTGCCATGGGGCCTGAACTGCCCCCCCGAGGGCAATGATGCCCTAGGGATGGTGCTCAGCAGTCCAGGTTGGGTGGTGGGGTCCTGGGGCTCAGCTGTGAGAGGCAGGACTCTCTCCTGTTGTGTGTCCTGGCCTGGGGGCTGTTTCCTGCTCTCCTCTGCACTGTGGCAAGCCGGGGCCTGGCAACGCAGCATGCGCATGAGCATTGGCACCCCTTTCGGTCCCTGACCCTGCTCTGCAGGACTTGAAATACTCTTGGTGCCTGTGGCAGTGTATGACGCAGGCCTGAAAACGTGCTGTCAGAGGGGAGGAGAAGAGCTGGAGGCGCTCCCTGTTTTGTGGCATGTGCTAAAGGAGATTTGGATGAGATCTGTGTGGCTGAGCCATAACTAAGGCCCCTGCTGTTCCCTATACTGAGCTGGGGCAGGTGGTGGGGGGTTCCTTGCGGCCCTAACTTTGATGTGTGAGCAGAGGAGGGCTCAGGGTACCTGATGGGTGGAGGTTGTATGTGCCAATGTCCCACCTTAAGCCCTGGATATCAGCTCTTGCAGCCAGCTTTTGTGTGGCAGGGCTGGGAGAAGGGAATTGCCACCCTGCTCCAGCTGCGTTCCCTCTTACCAGTGATAATGGAGCTTAAGGCGTCGATCGAGCAGTGTGTGGGCACCAAACCCCTCGAGAGCACTCCAGAGCCTGCCGAACCCCTGCCAGCTGATGCCCCCCTGGATCGGACACCCACACCCACTAGCACAGAGGTGAGGCAGGGGCAGGGCTGACAGTTGTGGGGTGGGAGCTGCAGGGTCAGCCCTCTGGTCTAACTGTGCATGTGTCCCTCCACCCACAAACCCCTTCCAGCTGCCAGCTTTGCTGGAAGCTTGTGAGCCCCTCCTGAGTTAGTGGAGAGCTGTCCTGCTGTGCTGGGGGCTTGGCTCAGTCCTTTTGCTGCATGTAAGGATGCCGTCTGGGGAGGCAGGGGCTCACCTCACCTTCTGGGACTCATGTCTTCTCGTGGGGCTGCTGGGGGCCTGGTTCTTTGTCCTAGAACCTGCTGCAGGAGTGTGGGCCCACCTTTGAACAGGAGTGGGGGTACAGCAGGAGTAGCTCTGTGAATCTCTTGCAGGACCTTACCCCTGGCAGTGTGGAGGAGGCAGAGGAGGCAGAGCCTGACGAAGAGTTCAAAGATGCTATCGAGGTTTGAGGCTGGTGGGGGCAGGCTGTGCCTGCAGGGCAGCTGAGGTGGGCAGGGGTGAGGGCTCTGGTGGGCAAGCTGGGTGCTCAGGGAGGGTGGCTGTGGGGCTGGGTGCCTCTGACTCCATCTGTACTGCCTCTCGTCTCTGTCCCATGCTGCGGGAGAAGGAGAACCAGCTGCTGGTTATGGTGAGTACTGCCATGCCAAGGTGTGCAAGCGGGGCATCCCCTCCCAGCTGGAGCTGGCAGCCTTTGCCTGGTTTGCTGGTGGCTTGTGGTGATGCCAGGTGGAGCATCCTGCTTGTTGGGTGCCCATCTCTGGGGTGGGCTGCCCTGCAGCCCTCGAGCCTGGCCCCGGCCACCCCTCCGCGCTCAGCTGGCTCTGCTCTCTGCAGGAGGATGACGAGAGCTCTCAGTGCTCAGCAGATTTTGACCTCAGCCTCCCAGACAACGGTTTTATGAGCAAAAATGAGGTGATCCGCAGCAAGGTGTCACGCCTGACCGAGCGCCTGCGCAAGCGCTACCCCAGCAACAACTTTGGTAAGGCTGGGAGCAGGTGCTGCTTGGGGGAGCTCAGCAGAGTGGGGTCTGTGCCGCTCCCAGCAGCAACCACTGAACCGGGAGTGTACAGAGTGGTGTGGTACCTGCTAGGGCTGTGCTGACACCTACAGTGACCTCCCTCTCTCCGTGGGGAGGATGTTCCCAGCCCTCCTAGGAAGGGCAAGGATGGGAAGGTGCAATGTCACTTCCGAGCTAAGCCTTTACAACAGCCGTGGGTGTTCCTGTACCTCTTACAGTCCTAGGCAGCAGAGCCCTGCCTGATCTCTGTTCTCTTTCTTCCAGGGAGCTGCACGGGCTGTGCAGCCACCTTCTCTGTGCTCAAGAAGAGGGTGAGTCTTCAGCTTCTACCCCAGCTTGCAACGCGCATCTGGGACAGAGGCGTTGCGTGTGTCTGGCTCGCCCTGGCTTTCTCTGGCAGCTTGGGTGGCTGGCATCAGTCACAGCCCGGCAGCAGATGACCTCAGCTAAGTGCTGGGTGTTGTCGCATGTCTAATGGTGCCAGAGATCCCTTGTGCTGTGGGGCCTTTGTCTGTTTGCTCCTTTGGAAGCTTCCTTAGGCCAAACCTGTGTGTGTTGGCATAGGAAGCACCTGCTCTTTGCACTGGTTTAGCCCATTTCCTGTGGTCTGAGAGCTTTCCGGTAAAGCAGAGCATGGGTCTGCTTGTGGGAACTAGAGGAGCAAAAGCCACCCCTGTTTTCTTATCTGACCCCCGCGTGTGATGCTTGGCGCAAAGACTGCGGGCAGTTCTGGGAAGGAGGTATCTCTCGTCCCCTCCAGACTCACATTGCTGTCTTCCTGCCCTCTGTTCTTCAGACTCGTGGCCTCCTCCCATTACTCCTGGGTTAGGCTGATACACGTCTGGGACTCTCTGGAGCTTGTGTCCCTCCAGGGTTACAGAATAGGAAGTGATACAGTGTCCTTAAATCTCCTGGAGCCTGTGCTCCCAGTGCTTTCTCAGGCTGGGCGCAGGCAGCCTGTGATGTTAGATACTTGAATGCAGATCCAGCATTAGGCCTGGGTGGTTTGTCCAGGTGTTGTCAGCAGATGACCTCTCTGCTGTTGCTGTCAGGGCTTGCAGCCACTCCCCTTCTGCAGGGAATGCTGTTAGCAGTGCTCTGGCACTGGAGTTTGCCGGGGAGCACTGGGAGTGGGCCCAGAATAGCGTCTCACCTCCATCTCTCTCCACAGCGGAGCTGCAGTAACTGTGGGAACAGCTTTTGCTCCAGGTGTTGTTCCTTCAAAGTCCCCAAGGCTGTGATGGGAGCTACGGGTGAGTGGAAAGGTGGAGGAGGGCAGAGCTCCTGCTCCTACCTGCGCTGTCTGCTGCAGGGGTTTGCCCCAGCCCTGGTGGGGAGGGCAGACAGGACCTGCCCAGCGCAGCCTGGCTCGGGACAGAGCGGTGATGGGTTTGCAGCTCTTGGAGCAGCTCTGTCGCTGGGGTCCCTAGTCTGCGGTGGGGTAGGGGAGCATCTCTGACACCTGCTTTTCTTTCCAGCCCCGGAGGCTCAGAGAGAGACGGTGTTCGTGTGCGCTCTGTGCAACCAGGTGCTCACCAAGTGACTGAAACAGGCCCAGCCAGCTCCTGGGTCCTGCACTGCCTGACACCCGGGACAGTGGGCACCCTTGCAGCCGGGAGCCTGGGCTGCTTGGTTCCCAGCGTGGTGTCTCCCTGCCAGAGGGTGCTTGCACTCACCGCTCCTCCTGCCAGCGCCAGGCTGGGGCAGACCAGCCCTCCTTGCCATGCAGCATCTGCCACACCAGCTGGGTCCCTGCGGTGGAGCATTGCCCACAGCTGTGCCCCGTCCCTGTGGCTGCCCCTGGCAGCTGCTCCAAGCCCTGGGTGCTTCCTGGCACTCGCTGTGCCCTGCCACATACTTGCCCAGGCCCTGTGGCTTAGCTCAGTGATGGAGGAGCTATCCTTCCTACTTGTGGTCCCACCTCCTGGGTGGGGGAGAACAACCTCAGGGCTCTGTCCCTACCTTTTCCAGTACTGTGCTAGGTGACTATATTTTTGGGATCAAGTCAGAGCTCTGCCTGCATCCCCAGGAGATGTAGTCTTTGGTCCTGGCTCAGCTGAGACCCTGCTAGTCACTCCTGTGCTCTTCAGCCTCACTGCCTGCAGGTTTAGTCTTTCCCCTGCCATGTTTGGCTGTAGCGCAGAGGAGGCAAGAGGGTAAGTTTGGGCTGGGCTGTGTGGCCAGGTCTCCAGGTGTAGTGTGAGAAGAGGCACAAGTTGGTGCTGCTCTGTGCACTTAGTGACTGCTGCTTTCTACTACAGATTAATATATGTGTATATAGAGAATGACCAATAAATCTCTTGCCCTCAGCTGGCTGTTGTCTTGCCCTACTGAAAGCTGTCCCAGGTCACCCTGGCACCTCTGTGGCCTTGGCCCCGCTGTCCTGCGGGCGGTCACAGAGAAATGGTCTCTGCCACCAGCTCTCCTTGCTTACTGGGGTTTCCATCTTCTGTCATGCTGTGGCCTTGTTTGCCTCCTGCTCAGGGCTGTGTGCAGCTGCCCCTCCTTGGCTGTGCCAGGGCTGGACCCTGCTGGGCTGGAGCCAGGGAGAAGCTCAGCCCTGGCAGGAGCTGCTGGGCTTCTTCACCTCCTGGGGCTGCTCCTTCCCCTTCCCCTGCCCTGCCCAGGCGGTGGTCCTGGCAGCTGCCTGTGAGCACAAGGGTGACCTTTCCCTGCATGAACAGCAAAGTTACCAGCTATCCCAGGAATGTGACCCTGGCTGCTGTGCAGCTGGGAACAGCCATGGCCTGGGTCCTGGCCAGCCAGCTCGCGCGCTGTGAGGGTTGGGGGGGGGGGGGCTGGTGCCCTTGGGCTGGCATTGCGTGGTGCCCACCAGGCTGTGACGCCCACCAGCCTGAGAAGGTGCTGGGAGCCCAGGTCTTGCCTGGAGTGGGACGCAACACCAGCGTGGGGGCTCACGTGGGGCAGCCCCGGGGGCAGCCTGAGCCCTCCTCTTGGCCATGGGCTCATAAACCCCTTCCTCAAGCTGTGCCCTATGGAAATTTGGGGAAAAGCTGGACTTGGCAGTGATGATGAGGGTGTCTTGAGTTGTGCTGGGTGTGCTTCAAGGCCAGGGTGCGCGGGGGTGCTGGCATGCAGAGGGCTCAGCAGTTACTGGGGGCAGCGGAGCAGCTGTAATGTTGGGGAGGGGGCTGTGTAGCACCCCAAGAGCTTGCAGGGTCCTGTTTGTGGGTGGGGGTGTATCTGCAATGGGGTGAGTACTGGTGTGCGAGGGGCTGGGGTGTTGAGCTGTAGAGCTCAGACGGCTGGTGGTGGGAGGCAGAGAGAGGTTACTTGTCTTTCTAGAGAAAACACTTGGAGCGATGAGCACCATGGCCATGTATGTCTAAATGCTCCCTGGAAAGATGCTAATGACGCAAAATACAGAGGGCTACAGATAAACTTGGGCTGTGGGAGATGTTTTTTTGGTTTGTTTTTTTTTTTGCATACTTTAAGTTTTGCAGTAAAATGACATAATTGACGATGTTTATTCCTATGGCAGTGTGCTCAGCAGCCTCGCTCTGAACATACATTCTAACAATATTTTAGTTTTTTCCCCAGTTTTTTTCCATATTGGCCACAGTGGAGGGTGGGGACAGCAACCATCTGCCCCCAGCGTGAGGCTGTGGCAGGGGCACGTCCCCTCAGCTGGAGTGGGACGCAAGTGCCCTTTCAGGCTCTGGGAGGTGGGGATGGCCAGTGGGGCCGAGGCCATGCCCAAGGGGGGCAGAGGGAGCAGGGATCACCCCTGTGCGGGGCAGGTGCCCGGTGGCCTCATCAACTGGGAGGAGGGGGGGGTGCAGGCGTCCTGCAGCCTCAATTCCCCTCTTGTCCCGGGAGGCTCCCCTGCGTCGGGGCCAGCTCCGGTGAGAAGCCGCAGTGTGAGGCAGCCAGGCGCTGGGTAAATATCGCAGCGGCTGCCTTCGTGCCTCCCTCACCCGGCGGGACGGGTGGACGCAAGAATGCGCTGGGTAAACAGGGCTGGAGTGGGACAGGGGCAGGTGGGCTGCCCCCCTCTCCTGCTGGGACTGGGGGCTGCTGGGGCAGAGGCAGCCCCTGCTCTGGGGCTGGGGGAGCTGAGCCAAGGGGCAGCATCTGCTGCTGTCAGGGGGGCCAGGCTGAGGGCTGCGCCGGTCCCAGTGCTGCTGGGGTGGTCCTGGCTGGTGCAGGTGGGTGTCCCCAAGGAACCTTTTGGGAGGAGGCTGGAGGTTGTGGGGTGGGAGGTCTGGCGGCAGGGCAGGGCTGGCTGAGAGCTGCAGACAGGGCTTTCAGGTGGTGCAGAGGTGGGGTGCCCAGGGATGGAGGCAGGGATCTTGGCCCAGGATCTCCCCCCCACTATGCTCAGTACCAGACTCCCCACATGCACCTCCAACTCCCAGCCTGTGGATCTGTCCCCCAGGGGTGATGGAGGGAGAAACCTCTCTGCCAACCTCAGACCCAGCTGTGGGGCTCCCCTGTCCCCCCGATCCTCCTCCTCTCGCCACCCTCTCAGGCTCCCTGAAGTGGCAGGGGGGCCTGAGCCTTTGACCGCTGGGAATCTCTTCCCTCGGCTTGGCCAGCCTGCCTGGCCTCTGTCTCTGGGCATCGTGCCTGGAGCAGGGCTAGAGCTGGAGCCCAGGGTAACACCATTCCCTCGGGTCACCCCACTCAGTGGGCAGGACTGGGAGCCCCCTCCCATCCTTCCTGGGGTGCCTGAGGGAGCCCCAAGCAGTTGCCCATGAACCACAGGGAGCCGGACACAGGCTTCTCCAAGGTGGCATAATTTACTGCAGTGTGGATGGGCAAGGGGTGCCTGCGCTGGGTCTTGGCAGGGGTGTGCATGAGGGATGCAGCAGGGCTGGTCTGAGGGGCTTGGAGGTGAACCCCCCCAGCACTGAGCCATGTGGGATGGGAAGGGTGGGGGAGCCCAGGCAGGGGCCGTGCTGCTCCAGGCACTTGGTCTAGAGGGGTCAGTCTGTGGGGCCAGCGGGGCAGGAGGGACCTGCTTTAGCTGGGGTGAGTCCCTGCAAAGGTGGGATAAGCCAGGGCTGGGGTGTTAGCTCAAGGTGTGGGCATGGGATGCTTTGGTGGGCTCGAGTAGGGATTTGGGGGGGGCTGACAGTCTGGGTCGTGTCATCAGGGAGCTGGGCAGGGGACACAGGGGTGTGGGGTAGGGGTCTCGGGTGCAGCCAAGGGGTCCCAAGAGGGCCAAACAGGGATCCTAAGTGCAGGCAAGGATCCCTGGGGTGCCAGGCAGAGGGCTTGGGGGTAGCTAAGGGTCTCTGGTGCAGACCAGGGCTCACAAGCACGCAAAGCAAGGTTCCTGGATGCAGCCTAAGCTCCTGGGTATGGGCAGGGGTCCTGGGGGCAGAACGTGGGTCCCAGGGGTGCAGAGCAGGGCTCTCAGGATGGGGCAGGAGTCCTGGCTGTGGATCAAGGCTCCCACAAATGCAGCTGGGAATCCCAGGGGTGCAGAGCAGGGTCCTGGGGCACAGTCAAGGGGCTGAGGGGGAGCAGAGCTGGGGTCCTGGGGTGCAACCAGGGATGCCAGGGGTGCAGCGTCAGGCCAGTGCAGGAGTCCCAGGGCAGGGCAGGGTGGGCAGAGCCCTAGTGCTGCCCGGCCCCATAGAGCAGGGGGTGGTAGAGGGGGCAGGGGTAGGAGAACATGAACTTGACGGCAAACTTCATCTCCTTGTTGTGCTTCTGCCAGGGGTAGACAGCGAGGAGGAGCAGGCGGCCGCCC